AATTTGATACTGATCAAATAGCGATAGCAATAACATTTACATTATATTAAATTGATATATTGATCATATATCAATCAATAAATTAATAATGGGTCGGAAATAGTCGAAGATCACATGACCGCGGCATTTTTATGGCACCACTAGTGCCACTGTTGAAGAAAAGCAACTTCACTTCAATGTATCCAATTTAGCATCAACAACAAACATACGTACAATAAATGTTTTCTAGTTATATTTTTCAAAGTATTAACTTACATATACTTTTCTTTATTCTTACTCATAATACATTTCTTTATTCGTTACTTGATACGTTTCAGATTCCAAGAGTTTCTTTCCAGTCATCTCCATCGAAACTATAATCGAACCTTCGACAAAACTGTAATCATAACATTATTATAATATCGTGAAATTACTTATTGCTGAAATCAGTAGGGTTCAAATTAGAGGCCTGCAAATTGCTTATTTTTGTGGATCGCGGGACCCAATGCAGGCATCTAGTTCAAATAAAACTAAAACGATAATGAAAATTTTTATTAAACACGGCCATCAAAAAAAATGATACTTTTACACTGTGAGTTTTGTCAATTTCAACTTTCATGCAAATCGACAGTCAAAGATAGTAGCAATGAAACGAAATAACGTTATATTATATCATTTTTAAATTAAAATTTTCCATGTACAAATATAATTTTTGAACATTACCCTACCAAAAAAAGATAATCATTCTTGGTCAGAACATAATACAGTTCTGATAAAATCGATTAACACAATCGTTTAATCTTGCTATCAAAATACCTATAATTAAATATCATAGTACAACTTAAAAGAAAAAAAGAGAAACAACGTTAAAACCTTGAGATTGTAAACTTTTTAGACACACTCAAAAGGTCGAAAATAAACGACAGAATATTACAAAACATATAAAAGAAAAAGAAATAAAACAAAATAAACCAACAACAATCGAAATGTTTCGAAAACAAATCGACAGAATATTATATAATTCATATAAAAGAAAAAAATAAATCAACAATAAATCAAGACTTATCATCTGCAGAAATTTGGTCATTATTAGATGAAAATTCTTTAATAAATTCTTTATCTGGAATAGAAATAGCGATCTGTTGAACGTCAACTTGATACTGTAATTCGGCGACTTGAGTTTGGAGATCCTTATTTTTCTGAATACTGAAAGAAAGCTGAGAACGGAGATCAATATTTTCAGAACGGAGATCAATATTTTCCCTAATAACAGAGGAATACTGAGATGTTAAGCCAGCGATTTGACATTCCAAAAAGGCAATTCGAAGAGGATCCGGTTGATGTTCTGTGGGTTCAGAAGATCCAATACGAAAATTATGAATACCGGGTGCGGATGGATTATTGAAGGAAATGTTACCAGAAGACCTAGAAGTCCTTCGTTGTCGTTGCGACATAGGTGACGATTATAATCGACCAGTTAGTTAGCCAATCATAAACGATTTTCACGTACCCTACGAGGCAAACATTCAATTTATAAGAAAATAAAGAAAATATGAAAAAATTAAAAAACTAACTATAAACGGGACCCGTATAATTTCATTGACAATCATTTTACCGAACCGATATATGAATTTAGTAAAAAGATATACCTGTAACTTATCAAATGCCTTCGTTCGTGAAACTATGGATACATCAAGGCGCCCAACTTTCCAATTTAGATCGGTCCTTTATATTATGCACCAAAATGATACGTAGAATATAAGTAATCACACAAATATATATTAATAAAGGAAAAAACATACCATGATCATCTCAATATACTAATAAAGGAAAAATTATAATTTACTGTGTTTTTGTCCGTTGATTCTCACTTTCACGAAGCCCACTTTCCCGAAAAACTATTTACCCGACAACACATAGGGTTAGGGTTAGCATTTTGTTAGTTGTATATATATATTTTTAGCAAATAGTCACCTGCGTGATATCGGGTAAGTGATATGTCGGGGAAATAGCTTTCGGGAAATCGTACCGTAACCAGCATTGTGCTTAATCATGTAGCATTGTGTTTAATCGTCACATATTATAATTTATGTAAAAATTAACATCCGATGTGATTTTCATAATTTTAATCATGTAACAATTAAGCACATTGCTGCATGGTAAATGACAAAACTGGTCATTTGATCAATATTTATACTCGAGATGACATGGATTCGTTCTTATGTATATAAAATGTTGATTATACTTCGTTGAACACACGCATGTGAAGCTTATGTTTAATCAAATCGTTATAATTACTTTGTTAAAATTATATTGACTAAAAATGAAATATGGCAATTAATAATTGAAATAAATTGAAAAATGATGCGAAACCTGCATAGATTTGAATATACACAAGTTTAAATGCGTCGTAATAATTTCTTTATTAATCGTAAATTTATACAAATATCTGTTGAAAACACCGTATCATTTTCAAACTGAAAAATGAAATGCGTCAATTAACAATTGACATGGATTGAGAAATAACGCATAACATATATAGCCCGATTGTCTCATTAGATAACGGTCTTTGCAACATTCGTTTGTATTGTTTATTGGTGACGTACTATATAGTTTAATTATAAATATCATCTGCACTACTGCGTAAATCAACCGATAGACCTGGAAATAGATTTAATGATTTACTATGATTGGCTACAGGTTTTCACTCTCACGCACTCATGGCTAAGGTGAGTGGCACAGAAGTCACAGGGTCAATAGGCATGCCATTTATTATAATTCCGAAATATTCCTGAGTAGAAAATCAAACAGGAGCGACCGTCAAGGTTACACGAAATGCAGATCGTTTCCGAAATCTTCCCAACCAATCAAATTTAATGTCAC